ATCCAAGAGCCGATGGCTGAGGACACGGCCGTTGAGGCAGACGCTGAAGCGACCGAGGACTCGGCACCTCTTCCACGGACATGGTCTGCATCAAGCTGCCAATCCAAGCTGTGGCAGCTGGGGCGATGGAAGCCCGCAAGCGGCCCGCTGCACCCACAGCAGCCGGCTCAGGCTGCTGAGCATTGGAATCCGAAGACTTGAACGGAGATGTCATCTTGTCCAACTCAAAGTACAACTCGCACGCACGCTTCAAAGGCCCCGGCTCATCCTCGGAGGTTGCAACCCCCTCGAAGAAGCTTTGCAGCCTCAGAAGGAACTCATGCACACATAGAGCCTCTTTGAATCGAACAGTCATCCCACGAAGAAGGAGCCTCAAGCGGGCAGGACTCTGATAAGCCTACCGTAGACTAGACTTGAGAAAATAAGAAATGAATATGCTCCACTTCAAAGCTATCCTAAATCGCATCTCAAAGACAAAGAGCCGCAAGGCTTTGGAACCATGTCGTGACAGAGTCATCCTCAGCCGATGAGAGCCACGAAGATCCGTTCACGGGGCTGGATGCCCAGCGGATGGGAGCTGCCTGGCCCTCCTGCCCAGCTGCCCAGAACTTTCCGATCACTTCCTCCGCCGTACGCACAGCCTTTTGCATGTGGGGGCCCTCACAGAGATCCTCGAGCACTGAGTTCGTCGTGGTCCTCCATCGCCTTGTTGCTGCCTTCACTGCGCTCTGTCAGCCTTTTCACGTCCGACAGAAGCCCTCGCAAGTTCAATGAGCATGCGCCCCGTTTCTCGTTCACGAGGGTGACGGCCTCATCTTGCATGCCCTTCGCCTCGGCCGCCGTGTAGGCCTCCAGCAAGCCCTGCACTGCCGCAGCACTCTGCTTTGCCTGGGAGACCAAGGTTTGGCCTTCCAGGGCTCCGTTGGCCTCGCTGACGACACGGGGCCAAAGCTGCCTAGGCTTCCTACTCATACCCTGCCTAAGCCACATGCAAGGACTTGAAAGTTGATTGGCTCAGCGAGGCACTCCAAATACAGTAAACAATCGACAATAGACTCTGACAGTGGACTGACAATAGAAGTAGAAGTAACTGTCGATCTACGTACAGTAGAAGTTAGATTTTGGAAGTAAAGTCCAGCCTACGACTTGCGAGTGGCTTCCACGGTGTCTGGCGCATCAGGACAGCTAGACGTGAGCTGTACGAGGTTGCTGAGACCACCTCCTTCATGAAAAGTTTCACTCCGTTCGGCACAGCGGAGCCCTGCTTGTCATAATCACGAATGTAGATTGCACTCAGCAGCCGCTGCCAATCCGTGAAAACCTGAATGTAGAGCCCAGCCGTGTTGCCAAAGTCTGGCTGCAATCCTTCAAGACTCGGCGCACCGGACTTTACGCCGGCCCTGCTGCAGGGCAGGCAACACACCCAAAACCAAAACGGACACATGTCTGCTGCACACGACGAATGCGGTAGAGCAGACTACGGTAGACTACAACGCTTTCATCCAGCAACCCGGCCTCAGGACGTCAGGGCAATGCACCAAACCAATGGGCGGAGGAAAATGCACGATGGCCTCGTCCAGCTGCTCCAAGGTCTTGATGTTCTCAATCCAAGCATACGTGGCACTGCTCTGGGCCCGGAGCAACAGCTGGTCGACTCTGTCGGCCATGTTGAAGATCTCATGAAAACTCTAGATTGTCTTGAACTCCTCGGAGCCCTCACCCTCTTCCGGCTTCTGCACCTGTGTCGGGTCGCCGACACTGACCATCCGAAGAAGCCAGCGGGGCCCCCCCTGGACAGGAGGGAAACGGAAATAACAACCAGGGACCAGGGGGGATTTTCTTAACGGCGTCCCCAACAAACCAAGAAGCCAATAGCCAACAGCCAGTAGGCTTGAAAGCTACGAGGATGAATGAAAGTAGTAAGGAGTAAGTAAGATAAGTGACTGTAACTTTAATTATAGATTATACATAGCTATAAGTTATAAGTGGCAAGCGGTAAGAACACCGTCATCGCCGAGCTATCGCCATTCTTGTGCCTGTGTTACGACAACGGACACAGTGAGACCCTGGCGAACACCACAGAACGTGCACAACCAAATCCCGCCTCTGCTGCAACCTTTGAGCCCAAGTAGCTGCGGATAGCTGCCAGGGTGTCTGCATCCATGGCCGGGGCTTGCAAAGCTTTCGTGAGCTCAGCCGCAAACTCTGCATCCTGCACCTGCTTGATGCCCCGCAGCTTACCCAGAACGTCATACACAATCTGGGCATTGTTCACGGCTTCCGTGGCCTCGTTGAGGGCTGTCCGGACTGCCTGGGCCGTCTCGGAACCCTCTTCCAGCGACACTGCCTCCTTTTCCAAGGCAGAGGAAAGATCGGCCGCTTTCTTGAACCGTGCCTTGATCTCGGCATCCTTCACAGCACCCTTCCAGATCAAGCTTGGATCAAGGGCTTTGACAGCCTGCGTCGCTTTTTTGAGGTTGCCCAGTTCAGCCGGCATAGCCACTGGCACAGCAGGTGTCGGCCATGGGCTTGAGCGGCGATCCGGTTGGCAGCTTCTTCGAAGAGCCCTTCAGACCGCTCTCAGAGCTCGGCTTGCTTTGCTTGGTCTTCGTCCGCACTCGAGCTTTGGGGGCAGCAAGGCCAAACTGGGAGGAGCTGCTCTCATCATCATCCTCGGCTTGGCGCTCGCCTTTCTGCGTGGGATCATCGTCCATGCTCTGGCCTGCCTTGGTCGCGGCAACTTCGTCCTGCAGCAAGAGATGCTAGCACTTTCCAGCCTATCAGATAATCCATCATCTGTCATCTATCATCTATCTATCAAGCATCGATACGATGGTGATGCCGAGACTTCAGTTCAGAACTTCATGACTGATTCATGTTCATGACTCATGAATGAAATTGAAGCGTGTTTTCAATGATCAACGGTGACACTGAAACCCGGCCTCGTCATTCACTTCCACAGCAAGCTGCGCAGCGTTTTTGGCATGCATCTGGTTGATTTGCTCCCTCGACATGTCTGCAGCATCCTCCAAGTGCTGGGCTCTGATTTTGGATGCTGCGATCCGTTTGCCGACTTTCAGCTCCTTCATGTCGTCCGAATCTTTAGCCGTCACAACTCCTTCGATACCTGCATCGTCTGCCTGGAGCTTCAGCCCCTGCCTGATAACGAACGCCTTCCGGGCCGCGTCGTTTCTGAATACCATGCCAGGATATTCGTCTTGACAAAACTTTCTTACCGACCTCCAAATCATTGCCTGAGTAGGCAGTAGGCATGTCAACGCAGAATGGTCTGCTTCGTCGTCGTTATCGTTACCATCGTCGCCAATGGTCATCGCCATCGTCATTGTCGACATCGTCATCGTCGTCGTCCTGGTCGTCATCGTCATCGTCATCTCAGCTCCGTGACACGAATCGCAAATGACATGTTGCGACAAACATGCACGCCCCATATGGCCCATACATGTTTCATGCCCCGCTACATCGAAAGCAAGCTGGTCCGAGAGGCTTTGCTGATATCCACGTAGGTAGTCTCTTTCTTCTCCAGCAACACTTTGATGTCGGGTTTCTCGTGCCTGTACTTCCGAGCCGGGTATTGGATCTGGAACTCGCTGAATGTTTTGCGCATTCGGTCGTACCTTGCATTGGCAAGGTACGACTCAAATATTCAAAAAAGTTTGAGTTTGAGTAGTTGTCCGTTTGAGTTGGAATGAGTCACACAAATCAAATCTTTAACCTTGAGCTTGAATGAATCAAGCCTGGAGGCTTGTCGCGGAAATCGGGGTTGCCGTCGAGGTGTGTAATCAATTCGCTGATACGCATGTTTGCCAGGCTCCCTCTCTTGAGGTAAAAGCACGGAGGGTTGTCCTGTCGGCTACACTCCAACCCCCGCCCCACCCAAAAAAAAAAACGCTTTACAAACTGGTCACCGAATCATCGCTGCCTGCTACCCACGCAAACCTCGCCGAACGCGAGCTTCCGTAAGCTTGAATCAGAGCTCAGAAGTCACTCAGAAATCTCAGAAGCCAGAGCCAGAAGGGCTCCGCGAGCTCGTGGCAGAAACTCGCAATTGGTTTCTGGACCGGGACCGAGACCGGACAGAGCCGCTTTCCGATTCGCTCTCATCGCTTTCACTACTAGAGTCACTAAAGACGCCACCAGCACTGCTCGGCTCGAGGTGCTCCGGAGCAGGCGCCTGCAGTAGCGGTTGGCCCTGCCCAGCAGGCAGGGCCCATGACGGCCCATGCCATCAAGGAGAACATAGCTGCCATCAGAACGCTGGCCGCCATGGCGTTTCCTTCGGGCAAGCAACGAACAGAAGAACACTTCCAAAAATCAGGTTTTGAAAGCCCTACAGGAAAGGTGGCACTCATGTAACTTTATGTAACACAAGTAAGTAACACAAGTCTTAAAAACTTATCTTCTGAAGTTAAACAAAGTTCTGCAGTTCTGCTCTGTCGTATCTGTGTCACATGCTATCCCGAGGCCGGTCCTGCAAGCTTGTTCATCGTTGCATAGTCACCAGCATGGAATTGGAAACGGGCAGGATCCAAGCCCTGCAGCGCGAACAGTTCCTGCAGGGGCAACGCAAGCACTCTGTGACCCGGCTATGCAGCTCAGCAGTGCATGTCACCATACAGTTGCTCGTGCAGCTATGTCCTCGCCACAAAGAAGGCGGTCGTGCTCAAAGCTCCAGAGCTTGTTACGTGTTGTCACCGAGCCACATTTCCCAAATCGGGAGACTGCCTCCCTTGCCAAACTTCCTTGGCAAAATACTGTATTGACTACATGCACCGCAGACTGTCAGCAGCACTGCATCCAAACAGCTTCACACGGATGTGCTTGAAAGCACCAAGACAGTTCACATGTGTTCCAAGCCAATCAATGTCAATCACTGAAAGTTCTTGGGGCCCTGCTGGCCACGTCCAAAACATATCTCTGCTGCTTCGGTTGCCCACGTCTGTCCTGCAGAAGCAGCAATGAATGGGCCATGAATCACCGCCCATCATATGATGTGATCGTTATGAGTCATGAGTTATGAAGTTGTGTGACATGTGGTATAGTATAGTCCAGGTACGACGGTATGATGCTATGATTCCATTGGCATGTTACAGCACATGACTCATGACACATTATGGATTGTGGTCATTGTGGCGGTGGTGGTGGTGGTAAACCCTAAACCCTCAATCCTGTAGCCATTTTGGCTCAAGGATTTGGGCTCGAATTCCTCGTTGTGCCCCTTGTTGATCGTCTTGTGGTCTCTGCCTCCCTGTCTGTCTTCTGGACACGGGGCTGCGACTTCGGCGACTCTTTTCGCGAGTGAGCGAGCTGACAGGTTGTCCGGGGTGCATGCAGTTGCTGCGGCCGAGCCGGATAGTCAGGCCACAGAACATGTGGAGGAGATTGAAGTCGATGAAGAAGGAGAGTCCAAGGCGAATGATGTCGCTGCGACTGCGGGAGAAGGATCAACCTTTGCCAATTCGCCGGAAGGCGGTGTATCGGATGCCCTTGAGGAATTGAGGCCCCTCATGGAACCCCCTGTGCCTGTCGACCCTAATTGAATTCCCGCCCGCAAGAGTGACTCCATGGAAGAATTCATTCCTGGGCCCCCGACCGCTGGGCCATTGGGACATCACACGAGTGCTTTGGAACGACTGCTTGTGAAGCGTGGTGATAAGGAAAGCTCCGGTAGCGAATCCAGCCGAAAACCTCCGTCCCTAGGCTGGAGTCTCCTGGTCTTGGGCAGGAGGTCCGTCCTAAAGAACGACGATCACCTGAAGCTGAGTACTTCGACCTCGACCCGCGTCACCGAGGTGGGGCTACAGATGTAGAGGATGAGCTGCGCGTGGCACATGCCCTCCCGGTGCCACATGCTCCCCCCCCTCGAAGCCGTCGTGACAGAGCGACTCCTTACGAGAACGACACGCCCCCTTGGGTAGGTGCACTCGAAGGGCGCCTCCTTGCCCACCTTGAACCCCTCAAAGCAGACGTTTCGGACATAAGTTGCAGACAGACAGAACTGTACCGCGAAATTGCTCAGCTTGCCGCTGAATTCAGGAAGCATGGCGATAGGCTTGAGTCACATGATGCAGCACTGCATGACCACAATAAGCTCCATGAGGGCAGCTTGATGCGCATTGCTGCACTTGAGAAAGAAGTGCGAGACTTGAGAGCAGCCTCCCGTTCCCCCACTCCGTCCCGTGCGCCCCTCTCGCCCGGCAATCGAAGCATGACTCCCACCCGGGAACGGAACATTGACGAAGAGCTCCAGATGGCGATAGGCGGGTGGGAAGACGTACTGCAGAAGAGACGAAGCGGTGGAAGAGGCAAACGCCATTTTTGAGGCGGCTAAGCTGCCCAATGCATGGTTGGAGATCTGGTCACCTTACTCTAGGACCTCTCATGTTCGAGTCATCCTCCAGTTCCCCGCCAGCTCCAAAACTGTCCCCCAGCAGCAAGCTTTCCAGACTGAAGTTCTCGAGAAGCTCAAGAGCCGCAAATGGACGAGTAACGTCCCTGGCAACGAAGGGCGAGAGATCTGGATCCAGCGACACCGATCCCCGGAGGATAGAGCCAAGATTAGGGCAATCGTAAGTGTTAAGGAGTTTGTTGACCAGCTGACCTTCTGAGGAGGACTTCGGAAGAGGCATGTGGAAATTGATTGGAGAGGAAAACTTTTCGTGGGTAACATTAATGTCTTGGGAAACCCCAACAACAATGAAGCCCTTCAAGAGTATGACCTCCCCCTCTCAGACCCGCGAGGCAATCACACAGGCTGGTACATCAAAGCCGAACAGTTTGCTAAGGCCACGGGTCTGCCCGCCGAACAACTCTCCCAACTCTGGGAGGGGCGCACGACTTCGAGGCCCTAGGGGCCCGATCCCTGCCACGCTAAAGTCTCCTACTACAGGACCTGGAATCTTCGGGGCAAAAGCATTGAAGATGTGTCCAGGTGTTGGGATCTTTTGGGTGGTGAGGGAATTGACGTTTTTGCATTTCAGGAAGTTGGCGGGCTCAAAGAACTCGCCTTGCTTGGCTGGGATCAGGACGAGATTCGAATGGGTTCGTCCTCTTATGTCACCTTTTTGTCATTTCCGTCGAAAAGCTTTCATGGGACTGTAATTGGCCTACCTTTGGACACCGTTGCACATGTTGTGGATGTGAAGCCGTTGCTCACAGGACTCGCAGTCACCACCCAACAACGCGGCTGCAAGGAATTCATAATGAGTCTGCACCTTCCTCACAGGCAGAGACAGGACTGCCTGCAGGTATGGCATGATCAATTAGACGAACTGAGGGCTCTCTTGAGTGGGCTGAGGTACATGGACCGTGTGCTAATCCTGTCTGACCTTAACCTGGACCTCATGTCTCTGCAATCCCAGGAGGACGACGAGAGGAGGGTTCTCCTTGAAGGGTTCATGTCGGAGTTTGGTTTGGACCGTACTTTCCCGCATAAACCAACTTGGTGCAACTCGCGAGGGGCCAGCTCCCGAATTGACTACCTCCTGTTCTCGGGAGGGACCCGACAGGCCATCTGGTCTGAAGTCCTTGAGGACTCTGACCCGGTGCTGGGGACGGACCACAAGTGCTGTAGTCTCGCTCTGCAGGAACTCAGAAAGTCAAAAAAAGGCCGTGCCCTCAGCTTTAATGTTTCCCATAGGTGCGGTAAGTGGAAAGTTGACTTCTCCAAAGCCCCAAACCTCTGCGATGCCGTATCCGAACAACTCGATGTTCTGAACCTCTCCCTGACAGACTCAACCCTGCAAGACCTCGCACATCAGTCATGTACCAGACCCTCCTCGCTTCGGTACCGGGACGGCCCAGAAATCAAGCGACTCATCTGTTTGCGTAGGAGACAGTCAGGTACACTTGCGAGAGAGACAGCACAGAAAATAGTGAAAGCCAGAGCCCTGGCGAAGAAACCTTGGATGACTGGTCTCCTCGACAGAGGCGCAGCAGGAGACTACCATGCAGTTAGTTTCTTTAAGCGCCGCCAATCCACCCGATTCTTCCAGGGGTCTTTCATCATGCGTGCAGGCGGTCAGGAGAAAGCAGCGAAGGACCTTGAGTACTTCTACATCAAGAAATACACCCCCCCCCCTGAACCCGCGACCCCCCAGGACACCCTTGCGCTCTACCAGGCAGCAGCAGGCGATATCCCTAATGCAGAACCCATCACACCTGAGGAAGTCCAGCTGGTCCTGGACACGACTAAGGCCGGCAAAAGCACAGCACCGGACGGTGTCCCGTATGAACTCATGTTCTCGATCATGCAAACGACCCTCCAACCTAAATTCATTGCATTCTTTAATTCTGTGCTGCATCAGGAAAGGCCCATACCGGAGCGCTGGCTGAAAAGCTAGGTAGCTTTGATCCCAAAAACAAAACGACCCTCCAAACGTAAGGACCTTCGCCCCATCGTACTTTCCTCCACCCCATGCAAACTCTTCACCAAGGTTTTGTTGATGAGGCTCCGAAAGGTTTTTCCTCCCATGCATTCACATCAGCTGTTAGGACTGCCTGGGGCTCAGAGTCTAGACGGCTCCCTGACATTACAACATGTAGTGAGACAAGCACAGCAGTGGAGCCTCCCGCTCTACGCAGTTAAATTGGACATTTCACAAGCATTCGATACTTTGTCGCATGCAGCTATTGCCCGTTTTCTTGCATGTTTAGGACCTTCCAGGGAAGCGTACATTTTGCTCCTCATAATTTGTAATTCGATTGCTTGCATGTCGCTTGGGAGTGCAACATGTGAACAGCAGCTATGGAGAGGGCTTAAACAGGGGTCATCGTATTCAGCGGAGTTGTTCGCGCGTGTGTTGGACCACTATGTGAGTCCCCTTTTCCACAAATGGCGTGAAAAATTCCCTACCTGGATCGTGGATGCAACCGGAGTTGCCCTGCATGCCATCCTGTATGCAGATGATGTAGTTC